TAAAAAATTCCATCGCAACCGACCGCATCCGTGCCAACCACAGTATATTCTTTAGCACGAAAGCGACGCTACCAACAACAACTTTCTTGGAAAATATACTACATGGATACAAAAAAATTTTTGAAAAAATTTAACATAGCTGACCAGCGCATAAGGTGATGTTACTAGCAACATCTTTGAGTAACGATGTTGAAAAGAAAGATCTCGCGAAAATGATGGTGACTTACCAAGAGTTCTCCAGAGCTTGACGGGCCGAGGGCCTCACTCGAGAATTTTTCGTCAACAACTTCTTCACGAATCTAAAGGTTGCGCGTGTAAGATACAAAACAGGTCCAGACGAGGCACTTTTCAGTTGCTCTCGAGGGTTCCCACTGGTGTCCTCTTGGAGTGTACGAGGGTTCTTGCTGAGTAGTCACCATGAACAGGAGCATTATCATCACCCCTATGCTACGTAAAGAATGCTCCGTAGAACGTTTTGGACAACTCTGCCGTCGAACGGGTATTGACCGTAAACTAGAATGTACCTCGATTCCGCCGAAACCAATGCGCTTGTGTTTTCTATATTCTCTAGTAGTGCAGTAGACACTACGTTGAAGTTTCATCCAAGTGATATGATGAACACTAGTGAAAAACATATTCCACGACTGCTGCATATCACCGCGAATATCGGGGTTTTCACCGAGTATTACGCCACTTCACGTAAAACGGGTGAAACTCCATTGTAAGAGTTAGGGTTATGGTTAAGATGATTCGAAGTATCATCTGCATCATGGGTTTCTTCAGATTACGTCAGCATTTTCTTCGTTTATTATAGGAGTTTATATGCAAATTCGGGTAGAAGTGTGCAGAAACCAACAAGAATTTCCCAAAATTTCCTGAGAATTCCCATATTGTCACCAACACATGTAGTTGACCATGTGCATATTTCTCATCAGTTTCGATGGGCATTTAAACCAAGTTGATTTCAGTTTGTCTCGGTATTGTATTTTACCGCTGTATTCGTCCCAATAGACACGCATTCTCCCATAAGGAAATCACTGGGGATCCAAAAAGTGCAGAAATTTTCTTTCCGAAAATCAAGTCCATGCCGCATATTCAGAGAGTTCCTATACAAATTCTACGGTTGATGTGAGTAGTGTCTACGCGATATGGGGTCTTTAAAAAACTTGTACTGTAAGAGAGTAAGAGTAGCAAGTGCGTTTGCTGCAAAGGCCATCCTTGTGAAGTAGTAGTGCATCTTACAAGAGGATACCGACCGCCCAAACGTCAACCGATCCACTGTTGTAGCCTTCCTTGAGCATCTCAGGTGCAACCCATCTACAGGGAGTGATGCTAGTGGTGACGCTAATAGTGATAGGGTGTCACCTCACAGTACCACATGCCTTCTTTAAAGGCTTGTCGTCGCCTCGTACTGAGATGTTGATTAACATTGATTACAGTTGGGCGCTCTTACGCTCGATCGCTAAGCCGAAGTCGATCATGACGAGCTCCCCATTATCGATGTCGGTGGTCTCGAAAAGGAAGTTGTCACCTTTGATATCTCGATGACTGAGAGATAGGAACCGACCTATTCCGTATCTTGCGCGCGCAACCTAAAGATTCCTCATCTTACACTACGCCCTGACTGTGTATATATGCGCATGCTTCCAACGCGGATCTGATGAGCTCAGCAATGCGGTATTCCGGCAACCGTGCATGGATAAGAGGTTCTGGTGAGCTATGGAACTGTTCCTTGGAGGCGAATCTAAGGTTGAGGGATGGAAGATACAGAATAGGTCCGCTTTTGCCCACTTCGCGTTGAGGCCAGCTAAAACTGGTGGTCCGTACATTTGCATGACTTGATAGTAGAAGTATTCATCTTGGAAGAATTCCCGCGGTCTGACGATAACGTCAACGTTATCTTTGTTCCTCATGGCACAAGGATAGGTCGACATTTCAACTCACTTGCATACATTCGGATGGTTGAGCTTCCGCAGCACACTAACTTCATTAGCAACTACGGCCCGTACCTTGCTATACCCGGTACCCCCAATCCCGCACAGGTTCTATCCCACCATGTCGTATGATCTATCAGGTCTTTGCACAGGCAGGATCTTCACTGCATAGAGCTCTCCGGTTTCCATGCAGTGACACTCCCTCACCTTCGTAGTAGATGCAGTAAGCGTGGCAGCAACGAACTGTCGGCTAACCTGTCCATAGGCCCCCTCGCCTATTTTGTTTCCAAGTATGTAATAATCACGTATATCAGCGGCTTCATTGTCGCAGAGAATATCCTGAGGTTGCTCGAGTTGGATACGGATGAGGTCCGCATCGTGAACACATCTGCGCCTACCCTTGTTTTATCATGACTCTGGAGGAGATGTCTAGAGCATGTCGAGCCCATTGATAAAACGCATCACTTCTGCACATTGGTTTCATCGTGTGGATCGGGAGCTATAACAACTCAACAGGTAAGCGCTGAAATAAGTCCCCGATAGAATCGTCGTCGGAAAACGTAAGGGAATTCTTGGCGAGCGAGAGCTCGGATGCTGCTGGCTGGTCAGAAACTTCTGAAGATGCCTGTGCCCTATTATGGTGTGCTCACCATGTGGCATCTTATCCGAGAAAGAGATACGGTTGAAATTATTATTGCTGACGACCTTGCTATGTCTGTGCTGCTGCGCAGATAGTTACTCGAGCTTCTGATGATATCGATCATGCTGGTAGGAACCCTGTTGATACCCTTCAACTATGATGGTGATGTATATACTGACATCACCAGTGCAGTATTATCA